ATGAGTGTGGATGAAATATAGAGCAAGAATATGCCCCAATATAGCAATTCATGAGGCTTTTCATAGCATAGAGACGATATCACAAGATAAATGGGTAGCATATAAAGATCTATTAATTGCATTGAATAGAAATTTGTAATTTAAAACTGTAGATCAACTCACAGATGAAGGGTATTCTATGGGATGGTTGCTATATAGGCAACTAAAGAGAAAGATTTTTGACAGATCTAAGAACTACTGGGATAAGGACAGAAAAGACCAAGTTTGAAGAAAATATGACATTGGATAATACACATAAAGTAGCCTTATTTTATAAATGTTTAATGGAAACTGAGATGGAGGAGGAGGTGGTAAAAGAACATATGGATAAATGGGCTCAAGACCTTAAACAAAATATTATGTTAGAGCAATGGGAGAAAATCTGGAGCAAAACTGTAAAATATATCACCTGTGTTGACTTAAAAGAAAACTTGTATAAAATGCAATACTGACACCAAGTAAATTAGCTAAATTTAATTTAAAAAATCATATAAATGTTGGAAATGTAAAAGTGAAATAGGGACATTTTACCATTCCTGGTGGAGCTGTAAAAAGGCAAAGAAATACTGGACTAATATTCATAAATGTGTCATGGATATTTTACAATCTCAAATAGTAATGGATCCCAAACTATATCTTTTAAATATAAATGAGAATAAGAAGCTTGAATCTAAACATGGGAAATTATTATTTTACATGATTGTTTGAGCCAGGATTGTATATGCAAGCAAATGGAAGAGCAATAGCCTTCCACTCAAGGAGGAATGGTTATATAAACTGATTAGTGTTATGCAATTGGATAAGTTTACAGCTATGTTAAGAGCACAAGATTGGGAAGAAAATGGGGAAATATGGAATCCTTTGTTTAATTATATCGATGAGAAGCAGATTAAATATGTTAAGAAAAAGTAGGGTTTTTTTGAAGTGAGATGAAATAAGGATATTATAGAAGTAAAGTAATGAATGAAATATTAAAAAAAATAGAATTTCTTTTTAATTTCCTTTTTGGATATGGGAAAGAGAAGAAAGGTAGTTAATTTACCTATGTGAA